GGGTGTTCCAGGTATCCATCCACAGCCTGTACAGTAGGGAAATTATTGCAAACTTACAAACCCTCCTCGTTACTGTGTATATTGGTCAACAGCACTACATGAGCACACAGACTAGATCAAATTCACTCATGTCACAAACTTCTTCAGGGTATCTTGAAGTTTAGCTCTTTCTTTCTCTCCCCTTTCCCCACTCAGGAACATGCTGCTGAGAAAGATGCTCTGAATTCCAGTGAACTGTGGTACTCGACTGTCAGACACGATGTAAAACATGAAGCCTCTTCAATTGACAGCAATAATCAGACAGAATACGCACTTGTCAATATGCCCAAGACGAAGAAAAATATCACCTGTGCTGAAGAGCATAGTGAATATGATTATGTCCTGGTAAATTAGATGGCACTCTTTTACTGGAGTGTGTACAGCTCTAGTAACCATCTTACCTCTGCTGTCAGCTCTTCAAATATTTCTCTTGTTACCAAGCTTACTCAGGATACATCTACCAGTCATTTCCTATGAGACAAACCTGTCCATGAAAAGGTGATCAGAGAAAGAAACACAGACAGGGTACAGGACTTGACAATTAAACCAGGAGGAATCAGCAGCAACTACCATCATAAGACAATGTTCCTCTATAGAAAATCAGGTGCTTTGATACTAGAAGCAGCTGAGGCTGAACATTTTCACATTTTTCTGGACTTCATAGTACTCTTAGTAGACTTAAAGAACTACTGATAGAAATCTCAAAAATGCAACAAAACCAGGGTTATTTTGTTTCTTTAGGGGGTGGGTTTTTTCTTTTTTTTTATTTTTAAAATGAAAGCATAAACCTTGTGTTAGGTGCACTTAACTCTTTTCTAAAGTTTCTCTGGCCTGCTTAATACCATTATATGATGCACAACTTTAATAAATAGCTCATTTCTCAAATTTCCCCCTTCCCCTTTTAACATATGACTACTTATCTTAGAGTGAAGTTGGAAAGAAATAAAAAATAATCAATAAACTGCATGTGAAATAAATATTACAGTTCCTTAGAAGACTATGAATACTGATGCTGCCCAGGTAGTAACTACCCCTCAGTAACAGAAGCCTGGGTGTTTCTTCCATGAGAAGCCTGGGTGGTTCTTCCATGACACAATGCTTCCAGCTCATTCCTGCCGGAGTCTCAGGTTTGGCTTTCTGCAATGCTGGAATATAACCTCCTCACACCCCATCACTTCTCTGCAAGCAGCATTCCTGGACATGCACAAAGGACTGAAACCAGTTATTCAACTGTTTACCAGAGCTCATAAAGGGATTATGTGCCCATATTCTTGCTTAAGCCTGTTCTTTTGCTCCCTCCATTTTTGTAACAAAACAATATGGAAGAAAATAAAATCAGGAAAACTGTTCCACAGGTCTTCCTTTGTATGTGATTGCTGGCTGCAGCCCTGGCTTTACAGTGTAGCACTTTTCAGTTCCCACCTGCTGTTTCCATGCTGGGGGCAGCCCCATGGGTGAGTGGTTGCATGCAGCAGTGGACAGACACACTACTAGCATGGTGCAGGCAACACTATGCAGGTACCACTGCTGTGACAGGCAGCTGAGTCTGCCCAAAATTAGTACTGTCTGCTGTGGCTGCACTGATGAGTACCTGCTATGGGATTTTAAAGGGTGGTTGTATGCTCCACAAGCTGCTTTTTATCAGTGTCTCAGTTGCCTCAGTCATTAAAGTATTATCCACACTCCTTCTATTAAAGTTAACATTAAGCATTCATACAAAATATCTAATTTGATGAAATGTGTTTTCACACTGTTCTGTCCCTAATGGATTGGGTCATAATTAATTCACTTGTTTATTTTCTTTTACATGATAATTTACCTCACAGATATAAAATCAGAAACCACTTTTCGTCATTTTTTGACCTTTTCTTCAACAAGGGTTCAAAGTTGGACTGGACATAGACTGCAAAGTCAAACATTTTCTTTTGAATATCACAACATCCTATTACAACTCCACCTCCTTCTTTCCTGTGAATTGGTGGGGTAAAGGTCTGGGGCAGAGGAGGATGGGCTAGGAAAAAACAATGGATGTTTGACTCTTTTTTTTCTGTGGAGTCTTAATGCACATAGGGATATCACCATAAAGAAGCCTAATCATTACATTATTTTTCAGTTCTTTATAACGTAATCAAGACAATTGTCTAAGGGCAGATGCAGTCAGAGCAATAAGATCAAGCAGCATCTCAATAGCTACTTTGCTGCTGGTATATGCATAGCCTGATACTTTTGGGGCAAAAGTATGAGCTATGAATTTTATCCTTCCTCAATGCAAGAATCAAAAGAAGTATCTCCTCTACCTGTATGCTGCACAGACTATTACATCAAGACAAATTATGGTTCTTACATCCAATGCTACATCTTACAAATCAGGATAGAATCAGCATTAGCCACATATATGAGAGCCATGTGAATTACTAATTTGGTCCAGTGTGTTTTACAAGCTCAGTTAAAGCTCATGCAACAACAGCTGTGGGTTTGAGTGTACACCTGTGTCAGACAGATGCTTCATGCAGCTCTCAGCATTTAGAATTCTAATGCTTATTTTCCTACTCAAATAAGTGAAACACTGGAACTGCTGAAGAATGAAAACAATCACTCTCAGAGTAAAAATAAATAATTTAATGCATGACAAAATGAGCAGATTACTCCTTAAATAAACCTGCAATACTAGAAAATGAGAAGCACAGTTTCCCACGTTTCTTACAATACAAAATGTTTCATAAAATAAATGAGTATATCCAACAGCACTAACATTTATAAGGCTATAAATGAATGACTAGAAGATATAACTCCACTAACATGGTAGTGAATACATTCCATTCTGCATAAAGTTAAAGCTTAAATTTTGTTATAGCCAGTTACAGTCTATAACTGTTCCATTCTGCATAAAATTAAAGCTTAAATCTTGTTATAGCCAGTTACAGTCTATAACTCTCATGCCATGCTGGACTGCATGGTCTGCTTCAGCACCTTCCTCTTGGCATTGGTAGTCATGCCATGCTGGCCTGCATGGTCTTCTTCAGCACCTTCCTCTTGGCATTGGTACATCTTATCTGATCTCTTGTCAAGAAGAACAACTGTTTGCTGCCTTATTAAGGCAAATATCATGCATCTGTTCATTTTTATCCTCCCTGCTGGGACAGGGACCATATTAAGGATATAGACTACTGCATCTGTTAATTTTTATCCTCCCTGCTGGAACAGGGACCATATTAAGGATATAGACTAGCTTGTCTTCAGATTTACAAATGTGGGTCAAACAGCTGTCTATTCACTGGTGCCAGTAGCTAATTATTAAAGCACACAGCTAATTTGACCCTTGAAATATTCCTGTTATATTCAGATGTGTTAGTGAACAAAATGTGTTTCTTCCTGGTGTTCCTTCCTTCTTTTCTATTTCACATTAAAGAAGAGAAAAATAGAGAAGATAGCACCTTATCCAGGAAGACTGTATGAAGAATAAGGAAGTTATGAAGCTTTCTTAAGAAACTAGTGCAAAGGTCTTGCATGTAATTAAAGAAAATAGAGAGGATATTTAAGTTTTCATGCCGTTTTACAAGGAAAGAGCAACAGGAGACATGGCATATGAAGTTAGGAGGGAAAAAAGTAACAGACATGAGTATAGGTGGAAGTGAGCATTAAAGATGAAGTTGTGCATATAATTTTGAATAGGCCAAGAGAAGAAGAAAGGAGCCATGTGCAAGACTGCTTTTAAAGCTCACACACAGCATTAAGATTTAATTGTAAGGCAAGATAGAGCAGAGCTTTCAAAGTCAACAGAGCATGCAACAGAGAAGATACCGGACTTTGACAAGGGTGAAATGGATAATTGAGATATCAGGACAACAATAAAGAAGGAGGTAGTGGTGTTAGAGGAGCACAACACTGTTATAAATATACCACATTTTCCATTTGCAATATCACATCACAGGCAGTATTGGCAGGACAACAACTTTAGAAGTGTTTCTACCTAATGAATAGGTCCCTTCCCTGGGACTACTAATAGATAGGAGATCCCATCTCTTCTAGGTGGTGATGAAGATGTCATCTTTCCATCGTTTCTCTGAAAGTCAGAACAGTACAATATTTAAATTAAAATGAAACTTTAATTAGTTATTTCAGCATATTCTTTCCTGTCCCTTTTACACTATATTTTCTATGAATCCTGTCAATATATAAAGAACAGAATGTTTCTGAAAATTGTAACTCGTGACTTGTTGCTCTCTTGTCCCTTGATAAGAGTCCCAAGAAAAGTCAATATGAGTTAATGGCAAATCTTACTGACACACGCACGCTATGTGCTGAAGCATTATCCTAGGATTATTCTGAAAGCACAGAGGTGTGGCTCAGTAAACTGGGGGTGGGGGAAGCAGCTCCATGCATTGTTTTCAGTAAAACTGCGAAGTTCATGGCACTTTTATACTGGCATTTCTATCAAGACAAATACAAACGCATTGGAGTCACTGCGTAGTCACTGGTAGTCACTGGAATCACTGCCTAGAAAACCTGGAAGAATTAATATTTGGTTCCTTTAAAAGGCATCTCTGCATAATACTTTTTTTCCTAAAAAACTCCAAAAAGAGAAAAATCAAGAGACTTCTATCATGCTTGACTGCGAAAAAAAATAAAATTGAGAAGTTCATTCCCAAATTACTTCCGCTGTTTTACTTAGATTGAAATTTGTTTTGTAAGCATTTAAAAATCAATATACAATAAGGAGAAATATTTTTCATTATTTTTCTCCCCATTATGGTACACACATATGAGGAGAATTTCTTTGTATAGATAAAATGCAAGAGGAGATCTGAAAAATTTGGTTGGAGTCCATAGCTAACCTGTCTCATCATTACTCCCTTTCTCATCACAGGACCAAACTGAATCCTAGGTTATAAATTAGGCATAGCAAGACTTTCTGAAACTATTTTACAGTGTTCTTAACACTATTGTGCAAAATACATTTACTAACAAATCTCAATATCTTTCTAGAAATATTTCCCTCCTTTTCCATAAATACTTCTGCTCTTTGTAATGAAACAATTTCTTTGCTGTACAGCACTTACACGTGAGAGAGGTTGGGTCAAGCTTCAACCTGTCACATTCAGATGTCCCAGGATCAAAAGTATCAACTTCATCATAAATATTTTGACGTAAAATGTTCCTTATAAAGTCTGGGTTCATAGTGGTTTCCATAAATCCCTCTATTGGTGGTGGTGGTGGTACAGAAAACACTAGCTGATAAATTACAGTGGAGCTTTCATTACTGAAAAACAAAGTCAAGCATGAATGCCTTCAAATTACTACCAGATCTTTTCTTTTTTTTATGAAAATACTGACTTTTCATATCAATGTTGGCAAGAAAAGCATTATAAAAGAAAACTGCCATCAAAGATTCCAGTTTCCTCTTCCCCCTCCTTTCTCAGATCAGCTCTTGATACTGGGTACAGCCAGAGACAGGTTTTCCAATGCACAAAGGGCAGTTGGACCTGTGTCCTAATGGGGTGTGGTTTTCAGCACTTTACAAGTACATACCGATAAGAGGTGTTGCAATATCATTTACCTAGGCTAGCTAGGAACCTGCAGAAAGGTTTGCTCTCCTGATCAGCCATACCTGGGACCACCCAGCTATGCTCCTGACTCAGCTCTGGAGTAGATTACACAAACCACTGAATGGGAGACCACCTCTGGAGATTTCATTGTGGTGTACCAAATCTACTGACTACAATTCAAGTTACATTTTGTATGCACAGAATTGAAAACATTTTTTAAAAATAGTTGAATGAGGGAAAAGAAGAGGAAAGAAAGAGAGAGAGAGAGAGAGAGAGAGAGTGTCATACAATGAGTCACAGAGAGAGGGAGATCAACTAGCCAATATGTATGCAGAATTACAGCTATATATTTGATGGTCTAAATCATAATTTTTACCTGAAAGGCTAAGGGGCTACAGTTCACTCACTGAACAGAGCTGGCATGACCAAGGCCAGCAGTGCAAGGGAGAATATTCCCATAAGGCAGAAAAGTGTCCTCAGGTCTGCCTGCATCCCAGGGAGGCTCTTCCTCTATCCTTGCTCTCTCAAGGGCCTTGGGACTTGGCAAATCTACTTCCCATGATTTTCTCCCACCTTTCTAATTCCTTTTATTATAGTGCTTTTCCAGAACTCCTTGGAGAAGCTCCCTGATTGTCTTCCCTTGCCTCTCTGCTATTTCTCCATGCCAGGAGGCATGTATATTCCTGTAGCCTTTACCTCTTTAGGGAATAAAACAGTTCTCCCCTCCCCATGAACCCTGTTTTATTTACATAAGACTATTTAAGCCACATCAATCTTAAGTGGCTCCAGCAATTAATTTTCCTTTTAATAAATATCCTTGAATATGCTTATATAAGGGCTACAATTGGAATCAAAGACATCAGAGATGATACTTCACAGCAACAAATTGTTACTGTCAGGATATACTATCAGCAGCACTTGCCATTTCCAATAGAGGATCCTTTGACCATTTTTCACTACCTATACACGTAACTTTCCCCAACCTATTTTTCACAGTTAAGTATTGTGCATTTTCACACAGGCATGTGTATGTCTCCTCAAAAGCCTGTAATTTTCATATAATTTTTGAGACAGAAATTGCTTACCTGAAAGAAATCACCTGAGCTGATCTAAAGTAACGCCCTAGAGCTGGAGATGAGCTGTAGACCTCTGTTAACTGGGAGAGAAAAAAAAGTAAAGAAAGGATTTAAAGGATTTCTTCTATTCAATCTATTTTTCCCAAAAATACAAAAGAAATTATTTTTACAAGGTGTTTTAAGGGGCAAAACATAGGTGCTGAAGGTCAAATATCAGCAAATATCTGCCCTGAAAACACACAATCCCTTTAAATTTGACAGACAAGTTAATCTGTGTGTTTGACTGATTGCTATATTACCTTAACACAATGGATGCAATCAGGGTGACCTAAAATTATGTGCTCACATTGCCATGTGCAATTTATGTTGTTAGGTGTTTTAAGGGGCAAAACATAGGTGCTGAAGGTCAAATATCAGCAAATATCTGCCCTGAAAACACACAATCCCTTTAAATTTGACAGACAAGTTAATCTGTGTGTTTGACTGATTGCTATATTACCTTAACACAATGGATGCAATCAGGGTGACCTAAAATTATGTGCTCACATTGCCATGTGCAATTTATGTTGTTAGGTTTGGGATTTTATTAGTACCAAAAAGCCCTTCTACCCTTACTCAGTAGAGGGAATGGTCTCTCTACTGATACTCCCTTACCCTGATGTCTAAATGAGCACTGCCATGCTTGATGAACTTATTTCAGGGTAAATTCAGAGCTGTGACAGCTCAGTGGAAATGGCAGCTATCAACCCAGGCTGTCAGCATGCACTCACAATGCAGCACATGGGATTTTGAGCTAGATGGCTTTCAGTGATCCCCCCTAATCTGTGTTATTCAGTGATTCTATGAAAAAGGTGAAGACTGTGTCCTAACTCTTAACCAAATTTGGAAAAAATGAGATGCCTTTTTTTTTTTAACATCAATTTAAACTGTTTGTGTGCCTAAAAGCAGGCAACTTTTTTTTTTCTAGGACTTTAAAAAAGTACAACTCTTTTTTCTTTTTTTTTTTCTTTTTTCTCTTTTTTTTTTAAATGCAAATGACTGAGCTGCTACACAGAGCAATAGAAACTTCTTAGTGGGGTAAACACCGACTATGTTATAAGCACAATCAACTTTGCCAAGAATCACATCAACACATACCCTCTTAGTAATGTCTTCAGAGAAAAAGTGCGGGAGACCACACATTAACTCCAATGTTCCCGAAAAATTGTAAAAATTTCCACTGTTTAGCAGTGCATGAGAATCCCAGTAGTCATCCTCATCTGTGTAAACATCTAATATTCAAAAGGAGATAGAAAGAGGAGGAAAAACTTTCAGTTAACTGAAGTATTGAAAAAAACCTCACGGCTTTCTCCAGGGTGGCTTTCTCACAAATTTCCTAGGTAAGAACTGCCTGGGGTGACAGAAAGAAAGTGCAAGTCACCTGAAGAAAAGTGACAGCACATGGCAGTCAATCCCCATTAACAAAAGTCAGCTGCTCTGGGAGCCTGACAGGCATTGACACCACTCAAAGGGATCTAAGTGATCCATGGCACTTGGTGCAGCATTACAAACATAATTTGCATCTTCATCCCTGACTCTCTTCTTGTAACATTTTCTCACTTAGCTGCAAACTGGAATTGCCACCTAATCAGGATACAAGTTGCTTGCTGTCTGCTGAGATAAAAGCATTCACATCCAATACTTAACACACCACCCTCTGCAGTCAGTACCCCAGTTCCAGGAGTTTAAAGGATGCTACTATTGCATTTGTGTTATATTAGATTGCACATATTGTACATTTGTATTAGCTGATGAAGCAAGAGTGAGTTACTTACTAGAATAAAGAATTAGGCTGAAGAGGGTGACCAGGAAGATTACTACAAATATTGTAGCTACAACCATCCATAGTTTACACTTCCAGAAAACAACATTCCTGCATGGTTTCCAGTGATCTGCCTCCTAGTTATAAAAGGAAAGGGCATATTGATTCATGAATAAGGCAGGAACATTTCAAAACAAAAAAATAACAAACCCAAAACATAGATTGGAGAGCTTCATTGGTAAGCCGTGCCCTACAGCAGGGGTTCCCACCCTTGACTACTGCTGCAGGCGGGAACACAGACCTGCAGGAGGCAAAAGACATTCACAGGCAGGCTATTACTTAAAAGAGAGACAATATAATTCCTGTTTATACAGAATTTCCAACTCCTGCATTGTCCATAAAGCTGTACTACAAAACTGTTTTCTTGGCTCCCAATTTTTAAATTTTTTTTAACTACAATATGAGACTTTTATAGCTGAATCCCTTTTTCTTCATAAGATTGGAAACTTGAAGGCTATTGAGTATATTTAACAGAGTTTAACTCAAATCTCACCTGTTCTAGGAGATCAGAAGAAAACTGCCTCTGAAGCAATTGTGCTTGCATGTACATTCATATGGGAGAGAAAGGACAATACTTGCCTGTCATTTAATTTTTAGTAAGATTTAAGACCATGCCAAAAGTTAGTCTTTTAATTAGTTAACCCAACAGCATGAATATTATTTTTTTTAAAAAAGGACAAAAAAATTGCTTAGATGACATAGCAGAACAGAAACTTCAACTGTTTTGTCCCACAGCCAGAAGACTGAAGGAAAGGCTTAAATTCACACGTAAACCATGCTGCCTTTTTAATTCATCCTCCTCCTCACTCTCCATCCACCATAAACCCCATAGTAAACTCCATGTCCTTTTTGACATCAGTACCAGATAAGGAAAAGTACATAGTGTAGGTTGTCTGGGCCACACACGTGCAGGTTGGGAGGAACCAGCTACTGGCTAGAGGCACTAATCCAGGTTATTTTTTATTTGACTTTTAAAATATATTAGAAGAATGATACTTCTGTTTAATAAGTGACATTAGCATGTAATTTTTTTTGTTTTAGAAATTTAAAAAAAGCTAGCAACTGCTGCCGAGAGTGCAACTATGAAATCAGCCATAGTCATATCAGTTGGAACAGACAGCTATCAAGCCCAAGTTTCGATTGAACCAACATGTTTAGACTACCATAAAAATGTAATTATTAATCACACACAGCAAACTGGCTTGATCTCAAAAAAACATTCCGCTCTGCAACTAGTCCAACACCCTCTGGACATTACCCATAGGCATTGCAAGAATGCTGCGAGGGAAGCAACAGCAGCAGAAAAACTCTCCCCACAGTGGGCAGGGCAGTTCTGCTTAACGTGCTACCTGAGCAGAAAGCAGAGCATGGTGAGGGAAGCAACAGCAGCAGAGAAACTCTCCCCGCAGTGGGCAGGGCAGTTCTGCTTAACCTGCTACCTGAGCAGAAAGCAGAGCATGGTAACTTTCCAGCAGTCCCTACAGGACAGGCAGCCATTTGCTAGAATCAGCAGAAACAGAGCTCATATGAAAACTCCGTTCTGGGAAGGGGAAGGATAAACCTAAGGGTAAAGTTTCTCAAGACAGGCGAGCGGATCTGGCTCACCCCCTGCCTCTCCTCCACCCTCTCCTGTTCCTCTTTGCACCTCCCTAGAACTTGTCTGACCCTGCAGCAAGCTGATTTGGCTTACCAGACCAGAGGAAAAGTAACTGGCCCCTGATACAGTGGAATAAATGGGGGGGTTGCCTGGTGGGTGGAACAAAACAGCCCAGGGAGGTGATCAGTGGGGCTCCCAAGAGGAAACAGCTGCTCTTTACTCCGCAGGAGTGGCAAGGGAGAGGTGGTGTGACTAATACACACAGGTCTCATGGGGGGCTCCACCACGCCTACAGAAAAGCTTGGCACACCACAAATATTCCCTCTGCTCTTGAGTAATGTAAATCATTATACAACAGCCATCTATGAATATATACTGTTCCTCTGACAGTCTGTTCCATAGCATTAACCTATGCAGGGGGAACTGCCTCCCTCAGGACTCACATACTGGTCTTAACTGAGGCTTTGGAGCATTCTATTGATACAAATTCATAATTATTAACAACAGCAAATTACTCAAAGATAAAAAGAGAGAGAATTCAGCATGCTCTGCTGGAAGACAACTTATGCTTGTTTTGGCAGTACTGTTTTCTGGTCAATTTGTACTGAAAGAAAGCCTGGTTTTAAAACTGGTTTCAACTTTTCTCCTTTCTGATTTTTCCCCACCAACAACACATGAAAAGAGAAAGCAAAACTCAGAGTTCCAATTACAACTTCAGTTCCAAAGTTAAAGTTTAAAATCCCACTCCAATATTAGAACACTTAGTTGATAAGAAGGAAAAAAAGTTTAACAGGCTTTCAGCCTTTACTTTCAAGTGAATAATCTTTCCCTCTCAAACAACAAATTAACCACCCGGACAAGATGTTCCTGCAAAGTGTCATTTCTCTTCCTGCATAGTGTTTTTCCTCAAGAGCAAGGATCAAATGAGCAAGTGAAATTCCTACCTTTCTCGTTTGATTATTGAGAGGCTTGCCATGATCAGCCTCACTTTCCTCCACGTTATCTTCTTGTAATTCAATAATCTCATGCTCCTGAGCAGAGTTTCGCCTATTCATCACTTCTGCCTCTGTGCGAGGACTTCTGTCTCTGAAGAGAGCACGGAGGCAACTCATTTCCTTCTGGTTTCAGCTGCAGTTATGTTCAGTAATAGCTCTGGTATGAGGCTGGAGACAGTAACAGAGGGAGTTGGGATAGTTTTCAAAGGAGTGATCTCAAGACACTGATATATAAGGGGAATTCCTAGGCAGAACAAATAAATAATGTCAACTGGACTAGCAATAGCGAAATGGGAGGCAGAGGAAGTATCGATTTACCTAGCTGTGAGAACTGCGCCTCTCAGCTGTGCAATACTAGGTTTTCCAGTTTACCTACCCTTCCTGTACCTGCCCTTGACAAGCAGGTGACTAAACCTTTAGCAACATCGTCTCTGAGGCAATTTTGAAAGGAGCCAGGGTGCTTTCCCTGCTGCTCTCAGCCGTAAAATGCTATTACTGTTATCCACACAGCCAAACAGATGTTGTTCTGAACAGCACAAACTAAATAAAGGATCATTTAGCTTGTGGTTTTGCTTAGTCTGTGACTCAACATCAACACTTGCAATTCTAGTCTCCTTTGTTAATCAATCAAGAAATGAATACTACTGTGCTTTGTGCTGCAAATTGTCATACAGCTTAAAATCACATCTGGTGTTAAAGAACCATTTATGTCTATTAACATACTATCCAACCTAAACCTGAGTAGCTGCTTTCAGGTGAAACAACCCCAAAGGACAAACCTGAAGAGAAGAGGAAGACAGTCTTCAATTTCAGCCTGTGCTCTACAGGGCATGCCTTTATGAAGCAATCATGGTAATCTGGTCTGCGCTAGCTTCCCACATGAACTCTCCCATGCACCTAGAGTCACTCATAACAGCTTACTGCAGCCAGGGGCTGATTCCTCCCCTAACCTCTTCAGTATCCTGCATCCTACCTCCGCTTATTTCTCCTGTTCTGACTGCATCCTCATGTTTCTCCTTCCTCTCCATAGATCATCTCTTTCCCCTCCGGATCAAAAAGGCTGGGCAGAGAGCTGCACTCCCACTCATTCTTTTGTCTCAGCACAGAGAGAATCATGCATTGAGCCAAACAAATCCTCTCTTCTGAACTCCCTTCCCTGCTCCCCTCACAGCACTGGTCCTTCTTGTTCCAGCCAATAGCTTAGGATGCTCTCTGCCCAATCCCCACACTTCAATTTTCTCTTTGTGCAACTCACCTGGCTACTGATGCCTGAAGCATTCCCAGGGTTCAGATTCCTGATGTCATGTCACAGCCATCCAGGTGAAAGCACTCCATAAATCTTAGGTTTATTCAGCAAGTAAAAAGAAATTGTATACCCCACTTTTTGATTCTGAGAATTCTTGAAACTGTGGAGGACTGAGGATGAAGCTCAGCAGTCATCAAGATGAAAACCACTGTCTGGGTCCACAAGATTTTACCTGGGACATCTTCTCTAGAAAAGCATTTATCAGCTGGTTCTCACTACTCCTGCCAGAGATGAGCTTCATTTATTTCATTTCCACACAGAGTAACAGATCTTACCTTCCTAATGAATTGTCTGAAACCAAAGAAAGCAGTTCTTCTAAGTCAAATAGTTAATGATTATGGATCTCAGCTTTTAAAGGCCAAAGTCTTTATTTCATTTATATCTGTGAAGTATCTACTTAAAGTCCTGTCTTTCATCTGGGCAATTTAACTTCCACACTTGATACCTTTCTTGCATGTGAAGTACTGACCCTTCCAACACATGTTGCTGAGAAACTCCCAAAAAAATAAAGGGAAGTCAAGAGCTGATGTGATCTTTCTGGTCTAGGCTTTTATCTAAAACAGAACTGTGGGAAAACTGAATCAAAACACTTCCAGTTTCAATAAGTGGAAAAGAAACTTGTGCTCTTAAATGTGCACTTTAGTAATAGGGGTACACTTGGCTTAGCTTTACAAAAAGAGGAAACTCCCAGGTACAAACATAGTTCTGGTTGCACCTGGAGATTAGAATATCAGAGGCACAATCAAACAATTAAAACTTGCAGTTTTAGCATATGTTTATTAAAAAGGAAGATGTGAATGACTGACTAGCCATTAAAGATACTAACTTCCTAAAATACAGGCTTCTAGTATAGCTTATGCTTCAAGTTTGACACATGCTGGGACAAGGTGTCCAACACTAGTGCAAGAAAGGAAAGAAAAGCAGTATCAGCATTAGAGGGATGAATCTCACTGCATGTAGATTACAGTGCTAGCTCATGCCAGGATTTTGCCCCCATGCTGCCCAGGTGGGTCTAAAAACTAAACAAAGATATTTATGTACTGCAGAGTAAGTGTGATGTGTGAACAGCAATAACAGGCATTCGAATTGCCAGGGTTTTAAAAATTTATTTTATGTACATTAAAGGTGAAAACAAAACACTTCCAAATATTGAGCACAATTTTAAGGCCATCTACATGGTCTTAAGGCCATCTTGACAGATTTTTCATTAACCTAAATACTAGTATTCCTAAGTCTAAAAGACAACTTTGGAACCCTTAAATCATCTCATTGGGGTGATCATCTCATCAGAAGGTTATAATTATCAAAACTAGATTTACTGAGGGTTAAAGGAATGTGGCTGCCATTTCCTCTTCCACTTTTTTGGAGTCCAAGTATCCATTCAACCACATAAATCCATTTTCCTTTTATGTCCCTTTCAATGCAGTATGGCCATGTGGGCACAGCCCAGGAAGATACACAAAACTAAAAACCTGAGCCTGAAACTCTACACACTGTGGTCCAAGGACATCAGGAAAAACAGTGTGAACCCACCAGGAGCATGCTTAAAATTCTCAACCCATGCCAAAGCCAGAGCTGGAGAAATACACTTGTAGCATATTGCAAATATTAGACTCTACAGTTCAAACAGTAAAGATAAAGCATCAAAGTTTATGTTTGTTTAATTAAAACTGATTAATTCTTTCCTTTTACTTAGACAACATCCCAAAGAAACTAAATTTGCTCTTCCAATACTTTAATGAAATTTTCATGGCATCCTAACATTTGTGAGCTATATATATCTGGCAGCTTTAAGAGCACAGGAGGGAGCTCAAATGTTACAGCCCAGAAAGTAAAAGTCATGCAGTGGCAGCATAACTAGAGGATGAATTAATCTCAGCTTTGTACACTATATTCTATTGGCATTTTCAAGAAAAATGAAATCTTTTTTTATGTTTAGAATCCTGTAACATGACTAAGGCAATATACGTGAGTTGAGTACATATGGAATGTGGCCATGAATGCCCAGATATGTATATGTGGAAACATATATAGGTATATAGATAACAAGGGAGATGGAAGGAGAGAAGATTTGCAAAAGAGAGATTTGGCTGGATTTTTGTTACAGTTTCTAATCCATTTTATGTTGTTTTAAAGGCAGTGCTGCTTTTGTTATTGCTAGGTGAACCACAAATTATAGTTTCTTCATTAGGGAAGTATATTCTTTCACAAGAAACAGTCAATGGCATTTTCATGTTATATCATCAGGTAGACTACTGTAGGAAGCAGCTTTCATTCAGAGATGATCTGCATTTTCTCCTTGGCTCCTCAGTTTGTATTCTGACGAATCCAGTCATAAAGTGCCGTCACCTTTGTGTATACACCAGGACGATTGCGCCGAGCACATCCTTCACCCCAGCTCACAATGCCAGCAAGGTACCATCTATTTCCTTTTCCTGTGCAGGCCAAGGGGCCTCCAGAATCTCCCTAAAATGATGGGAGTCCAGCCATTAGTGCACACACAGAGAGAGCACTGTAACAAAATTTAGGCTATTTATGAACAGTAAATACCTGTCCCTCTCTTTCTCAAATCAAAACTTAACATTAGAATATTATTTCTGGATAGAATGTACCCAGCTAGACATCAAATGTATCCAATTATTTTAACTTTTGGAAGTAGCACACTAATCAACATAAAACAATGGGAAAAAGTAGTTTATAGAATTACTCCTTGCTATTGTCCCATTACAGGATTCATAAAACAACTCACCACAGCCCAAATGGGGAGAGAAGATGTCAGGGATGGAAAGAGAGAATTCTATTACCAATTGGCCATGTATTGTTCGCAGGTTGAAGGCAGAACTCCTATACTGTGTGTTAAATAGGAATAGAAAGATACCACAAACCCCCAATCAAAAAAAAAACCAACCCCAACAAACCAAACTAAACCAAAACCAATAAACAAATCAGGCCCAATTAAGTATTACCAGCAGTTTCATAATCAAGACTTCGTCTACATTCATAGAGGGAGAGGAAAGAACAAAGACTAAGGCAAGTGTAAAGAACTGCCTTCTCAAATGAACATGCAGCTCTGCACAGCAATGTAGAAAAGTAAAAGTTCTCATTCATTTCGGTTCACAGGAACAGAATGCATTTGGACTCTTCAATGCTTTTGTGCCCTTCATTCTTTTAACCTCATATGCCTTCTGTGAACAGACCTGTCACAGAACTTTGAGCAGCTACAGTGCAGCTCATCTCTGCAGCTATTCCTTACTCATACAAGGCAGTCAGCAACCTTCAAATTGACCCTGGGGTTTGTTTGCTGCCCCCAGTTGGAGCTAAAACATGTAAGAGGTCAGAAGAGAGCCATGAACTGAAAAAAGAGTAACAATAGCAAGCTTTCATTATCCAATCAAACAAAATTATCTAGAAAGGAGATAAGAAAAGAAGCCAAAGCAATTCTTCCTCACTCTCAGGCTGCTGTCATGCTATCAATTTTGATAATCCAAGAGGCTGATCTTAAAGTGACTTGAGAAAGGAGGCTACATAGTCCAGCCAGTTATGCAGCCAGTTCTGAAAGACTGACTGGGCTAAATATTAGTAGGGAGAGGAGGGATTCTAAACATACCAGGCAAGATTAAAGAACATCCTAGAGTGATAAGAAAACAGTCTGAAAGAGTGAATGTTTTATTTCTCACAGTAAGTATCACATCCTCTCTAAAGATGAAAGGTGTTTGGAAGCTTCACATGGCTTGTGCAACACATACGCAGCTTACATGTCCAGGAAGAAATGAAACAAAACAGGATGACCATAAGTCTAGAACTGTAGTAAAAAGGTTTCAGGGTGCTGTGGGAATTTCTTTCTAGCACTCTATGGGAAATACACTAGGGACAGAAAAGAAAAAAATAGCAAAGATGCCACCCAG